GCCGGCTCCGGGCCCGGGGAGGTGTTTGCAGGCGCGGGGAGCTCCTGCTGCAGGTAATGGCCACCGTGAGGATGACGGGACACAGACGTGCCTGGCAGCGCCAGGGGAGCGCGGGCAGCAGCACCCAGCCTTGCCCAGCCCCAGGGCCCTGCCTGCACTCCTGCCTGCAGGCAGGGATGCTCGCAGGGATGTTCATGCCCTGAGTGCTGCAAGTCTTGCTCTGCCCCGCTCCTCCAGCTGGGGAAACGGTGCCAGCCTGGCCCAGCACCGGTGACCATGCCGTGCCAACCAGCCCACGAATTTGGGCATTGCCCCTGGGGTTTAGTTCGGCTGCTCAGCTGAGCGGGACCTGCCATCCTTGCCCCGCCGCGGCAGCCCTTTGCACCGGTCGGCGAGCCAGCCATGGTCCCTGCCATCCTCGCCTGGCCTGGGGGTGTCCTGGGACGGGTGCCAGAACACCGGCCCGCGCTGGGACGCTCGCCACCCGCCCCATGCCAGGCGTAAAGCGGGTTTCACTGTGCTCCGATACATCCCGATTTGCTCGGCTTTCCCCACAGCCCCATCGTGTGAGCAGCCCCCGGCTGCGCTGCCTGCGCCAGCGGTGCCGGGCCAGCATCCCGGGGGGGTTCGGGAGGCGACGCTCCAGGGCAGTGTCTGCCGGGGGGGGACCCGTATGCTTGTTCCCCTTCTACCTCCCCCATGCAGTGACAGCACGGCTCCACGTGGGACATCGGCACCCAGGGCCACGCTCACCCTGAACCCAACAAACCCAATTTCTCAAGCCCCAACCAAACCAGCCAGGGACCCAACCCCCCCGCCTCGGGTCCGCACAGGCGTGCCAGCCGGCTCCCGCCCCCCCGAGCCGGCGTGGCCGGGGAGGAGGGCAACGGCTTTGATTTTCCTCAAAACAACAACAACAAAAAAAGCCAAAAAAAAAAAAAAGCCAAAAAAAAAAAAAAAGCTCTCCCTCTCTGTTTTACAAGCCTTCATTTGCTATTGTTTATGTAAACAGGTAAATTGTTTCGTATCTCAATTAAAAACATCTGCCACATAAATGAATACCAATTAACTCATCCTGTTTTTAATTACTCTGTTAATTACACACAGGCAGCAAAAAGGATGGCAGGGGAATAGGGAAAGCATGCTTACAACCCCCCTTCCCACCTTGCTCTTGGCAAGGATCTGAAATGTGCCCAGATAATGATGGATTAAGGTGGCTGGTGAAAACCGTGGCTCGTGGCCAGCTCCAGCGTGGCGGCTCCCTCCCGGCCCGGCTGGGCGCTGCCGGGGTGCCTGGCGGGGGTATTTCCCGGCACCCTCC